ATGCCAGGGTGGGGGGAGGGAGGGGGGTTGATCCACACAGCTCGCCCTGAATTCCCAGTTTGAAAAGCCCCTCATCTTCTCTGAAAATTGGCAGAATAATCTCTGGGCTGTGACCTGGGGGAGCAGCAAGCAGAGATGTGGGCAGCATTGGGGGGGGGCTCACAGAAATCTATTAGTGTTCTCTCTCTGATTTCCATTTCTCTTGTCTCATTCTCCCTCCTCCCTCCCTTGATTCCCTCCCTGCCCGCAGTAGAAAGGGATCAGCTTTAGATGAAAAATTGCTTGAGGTCTATTCAGAAGGAGGCAAAGGAAGAGTCAGCCCCAGGGGCAGCCCGGGCCTGATTGAAAAATAAGTTAATTTCAGTTTGAATCGATGGGCCTCAGGCACTGAAATATCACGGGAAATTAAAGCAGCTGGTCCCCAGGGAACAGCGCCATTGACCTGCGCTAATTAATGCCATGGAGTTACCATGCGCCTCTCTGAGAGGCAGCCCCTCCCTCCCCCAGGACACCCCAAACACCTCCTCATTTAACTAATTAGACTCACGGAAAATTGGGTGTTAATTTGTTTAGGATTTTTTTCTCCCCCTCTTTCCCGGGAAATACATGGCGGAATGGAAATGAATGGCGGGGTCTCGCTGGCAGATGGATGCTCGGGGTCACTCCGCAATCTTCTCCAACTTGATTGCTTGATTAGGTCGTTAGCACATTAAAAAAAAAAAATCACTTGCCGTCTGGCGCTGGCCTGATGAGTGGGATGAGGCGGGAATCGCCTGGGTAATTTATCTTTTTATACTGCAAAGAATTTGATTTCAATCTGCAGATATATGGAGGCGCCTTTGACACCTGTTTAACATTACAGAGCTGACAGCTTAACCCTCTGATGCCTCCACTGCCAACAGCTGTGGAGGAGCCATGCTCATTGCACCAGGGACAAGTGCCAGCTGGGCCGGAGGCTGGGAGGTGGATTTCCTGGGGGCTGGGGTGGGGAGAGGGTAAGTCTGCAGTGAACTCCAGACTCCTGCCTTGGCAGGCAGGGACTACTCAGAGGTAGAGTGCTGCCTCTTGCATGGTGGCAATAGTGCTCCCACCCAGGTATGAAGCACTGCTGCCAGGGGTGCCTGATGCCTCCTGAGTCGGAGGGGGGAGGGGGAAGGCACAATTTGTGGGTGGACCTGGGGGTGGTCCAAAAGCCCCATATCCACTCCTATACTTCTATGCTGCGGCTTAGTGCCTCCCCACATGCTGCCAACCTGTGCAACAAAAAAATTGCCCCATCCTGAAGCGATGCTGAGTCGGAGGCCAATCTCGGGAGGCACGTGCCCCCCCATTCTCCTCCTACCAGTCTCCTGTGTTGTCTTCGCTGGAGACAGGTTCAGTTACTGGTGCAGGAGAAATTCAGTGTTTGTGCACCAGCAGTGGACATCGTGCACCAGCAATGGACAAGCCTGGGTGCAGCAGGTTATAAGGGAGATGATATGGGCCAGGTTCTCCCAGCTGGGGACTTTGCATTGGGAAATGAAAAGCAGCAGCAGCTGCCAGGACAAACTATCCTACTCCCATCCTCTCTCAGCAGGAGTGCTACTGAGAATAAAGCAGAAGAGCCAGCTGTGCAAGGAGCTCCCAGCTAGTCCCACCCAGCCTCTACCAGCAGGGTATGGAAGAACACAGCTGTAGCAGTCCTACCCACTCCCAGCAGGGGGTGCACTAGTTCTGGGCTACTCTAACCCAGCCTCCCCAGTGGCAGGTGCTTCATGGAATCACAGGCTGCTTTGTGCAGGATTCGTGTGCAGACTGTCAGAACACTTACAAACTCTTTGCCTTTCCATTCTGATGATTCTATTTCTGGATTGTTAATGGCTCTTAATCCAGAGCCCTTGGCAAGAACCATCCAGAGGCCTTGGCTCCCTTTTGCCTGGAGGGCTCTTTTTGTGCCTGTTAGAACAGAGGGGAATCTTTGCCTGGGCACTAGCATGTTCTTGTTCTCTGGTAAGCTTTTGCCTTTCACTCCTGGGATACTAGCTCCTCTTTCCTTAGTGCAAGGAAGCAAGGCAGGAGGTGACTGAGAGTGCTCAGACTGAGGTGGCAATGCCTGTTCTGGTTCTTTCTAACCTGCCAGGTGTGAATATCACTATGCTCCAGCACCTCTGACTCATGATATGGTTACTATCAAAAGGCAACACTTTCCTCCACTCTCCCCATCTCCTTATGCCAGGTCCAAGCAAGGTGGCTTTCCATTTACACTTTGGATAAACTGATACAGTTGCCTTTCTGTCTGCAGATATTGCCTGTCCTCCCATGGAAATACCTTAAATGATGCAAAATCTGAGGGAAGCTGACTGCAAATCTCCCTTTGTGACTGGCAATTTAAATAACATCCTTGTATTTATCTAAACAATTTCGAGGATGCGCAGCTCTGCAGTAAATGAGTGCCAAGATTACCCTGGCATTTGTCAACAATTACCAGGCACTAGGATCGGAGCTGGCCAGAGATGTTCTCTTCTGAGAGATGCAGCAAGTAGTCGATTAACTGTGACTTTTAAAGGGGTCTTACTATCCATGACCCCTTCTCTCTCGTACACAGACTCTTCATCACTCTTGTTTTTATCATTTTTTTTCTTCCTCCCTCAATGCCTAATTCCTTCCCGTTTTTTTTTTACTGCTCCCCACTCATTCCTCTCACATCCATACCAATGCTTGTGAACCTGCCTTGTGTGCATCCATTTAAACCTTCTGTCACACGCCTTTACTCACTTGCACACCTTTCATACCGTTCCTTAGTAGCCCAGTGAGGTAACTGCAGTCTGTGACATCCACTAGGTGGCTCCATGCATTGGAACTCAACCTGCTGACTCCAAGCATCCCCCTTTTCACAGCAGACGAGAGGAAGCCAATGCAGAAACAGCAGCAGCAAATTCTGCCAGCTGGCAAACCAATATTGACTGGGGCTGGTGGAAAATGTTGTGCGAGAACAGTCTTCTGTTGGAAAACAACTGATTCAGTGAAACTGATATTCTGCAGGAATTAAATGTGTTTTATGGATAATTATCAAAGTACTTTGTTTTGAATGTATTGTTTCAATGTTATCACTTGTTATCATTGAAAATTATGAAATTAAAGCTCTTTGAAAAGGTCAGTTTGACATTTCTAAAATGAAAGCCCGTTAGCCATACCGGCAGGTAGACTGTGCAACTTCAGTGGTATCTTTATTGCATTATGCAAATCCTCATTACTCACTTCAGTCTTCTCCAGCACCTACTGCTGGATAATATTTCTGATTTTGCCAAGACATGTTTCCTGTGCCTAAAGGACCAGCAGGAATTCTTTCCTGAAATAATTTTAGCTTTGGGGCATAGAAACATAGGACTGGAAGGGGTCTTCTGGGCCATCAAGTCCAGTCCCCTGCGTGCTCAGGCAACCATTCACCAAAGTGTTTTCCAAAATTGTCACTTTAAACCCTCACACACAACTACATAACATGCTATAGGTTAAAGCAGGGGAAACATAGGCAATGCCTGTGCCCAGCCACTGCCATGAAACAGCAGTTAGCTATTATGTGTTCAGAGGATCCTAGGAAGAGGATGATACCCCACACTACAGAAAGCAAGAACCTCATGGCAATGCCAATCTGACCTAGGGGGAAAATCCTTCCTTAGCTCAGATTTGGTGATTGGTATAACCCTGAGTAGAAGAGAAGGATCCTCTAGCTACGAACCTCTGAGTTTGCTACATACCAGCAGAAGCATCAATACATCCCAGTCAAGCCTCTGGAAGTCTTTGGTCTAGGGAATTTGTTTTATAGACAACTGTGTAGGAAATTTCATTTCCTCACATTGAGTGAAATATTTCCCAAACACTGTCCTTTATGTTTGACTATTCAGCTAGTAGCACAGCTTTCAGCATCAGTAGTATTTCTTCTGATCTTTCCTCTTTGGATAGGTGCTGATCTGACACACACTCACAGGGAAAAGGAGACTAAAGAATTTAATTATTTTTTTTAATTTATATATATGCACCTACATGTGATGCTGATGGCTGCCTTAATAATCCAGCCA